CATAAAAAAACATAAAATACTGCCATTTGCAACAACATGGGTTGACCTTGAAATATGATGCTAAGCAAAATAAATCAAAGTCAAGAATCATATGATTCCAGTCATTTGTGGAGTACAAAAGTGAAAGCAATAAATTAAGAATAAAATTAAAAAAAAAAACCTCACAGACAATAGTAGGGTGTTTATTAGAAGGAAAAAAGTATGGGAATGGGAGTTATGAAGAGTAGACAGGGTTAAGAGTATGGGGACAGAAGATTTGGCTTTGTTGGCATACAGTGTAAGGTACGATGTATCATAGAATTGTACACTTTAACCTGTATAATTTTATTAAGCAATGTCACAACAGTAAAGTTAATAAAAATAAATTTAAGAAACTTGCAAAATAACATATTAAAAAAAAGGTAATAAATGCTAAAAACTCATAATTTCTTAGTTATCTTTGCTACATTTTACTATTACTAATGTACTTGAAGTTATTTATGCCTATTATATCTGCATGGCTGAAATACTATATAGAGGCATGCAATTGCACATCTCTTCCCAGCACCTCTTTCACTGACCTGAATTGGTATCTTGGATGGGATATTTATAGCACAGAATCAACTAAAACTAGAAAGCAGGTTTTGCGTTTTTTTTTTGTGTTTCTTTTTTTAAAATCTCTGCGTTCCAGGGGTGTCTGCTGCTTAACATTTACCAGTACACTATGCTTAACTCAGGACATAGATGAAATGTAGCATAGTGGACCACAACAAAGATCTCTGAATTTGCCATTGCCCATTATTATCTATGTTGTGTGTACAAATTTTTAACATCGAGTGGCCTCAAGTCTCACAATTCAGAACTTACATACTTGGTGAACTACATGCATTTTCACAGTCTCATCATCTTTAAAATGGTTTGCAAATACCTCTTATTAAGTACCTTGCACTATACCTAGGTCTGAACTTGCAGTGACTGGTAAATGCTAATTGTAATCACTATCAATTATGAGATGTAGCAATGGATTATAGAATGGGCTGTAGTAGTTTTAGTTTAATATTCAGAAGATTTATCAAAATAGACAAATCATGTTTTTCATAATTTAGTTATTTCTTTATATAGAATTCTATGCCTTAGCAACGAAAATATAGGGAGAAGTCAGTAGCATTCTGAAAACAATTGTAGATAGGAGGGTTTTTACACTTGTAGAAAACTTGTGTTAGCTTTTCTAATATTTGATCCTTTATTTATAATTACATCTTTTATTATTGGAAACACCTTGTGTAAACCATTTAAATATATGGTATTGATTTAACCAACTGTCCAGCATGATCCCGTGTCAAGATTTTGGCACCAGGACTTCATAGAACTGAAGTTTCTTATTGATTCTGTTTAAACTTACTGTATTTACCAGGGCAAAACATCTATCTACCCTGCCTTCAACTTTCTCAATTCTATTTATTTTAATAATTAATTTCTAAACATGTTTAAATTACAGTTTACATTATTATTTTGTTTTAGTTTCAGGTGTACAGCGTAGTGGTTAGACAATAATATACTTTACAAAGTATTCCCCCTGATATTCACAGTGCACATCCAGCACTATACACAGTTATTACCTTGTTACCTATATTCCCTATGCTGTACTATACATTCTATGATTATTTCATAACTATCAACTTTTATTTCTCAATCCCTTTACCTTTTTCATCCAGGCCCCCAGTTCTCCTCCCCTCTGGCAAACATCAATCTATTCTTTGTGAATCTGTTTTAATTTTGTTTATTTACATTGTTCTTTAGATTCCACGTATAAATGAAAGCATATGATAGCTGACTTTTTCTGACTTTATTTCACTGAACACAATGGACACCTAAGTCCATCCATGATATTGCAAATGGTAAGATTTCGATCTTTATGTCCAATTAATATTCCATTGTATATCTTTACCACATCTTTTTTATTTACTAAACTATTGATGGGCACTTGGCTTCTATAAGTTGGCTATTGAAAATACTGTTGCAAAAAACAAACAAACAAAAAACATAGGGGTACATATATAAATTGGTGTTTCTTTGGATTTCTTTGAATATATATATACCTAAAAGTGGAGTCTCTGGGTCATAGGCCATATAATTTTTAATTTTTTGAGCAACCTCCATATGGTTTTCCACAGTGGCTGTACCAATATGCATTTTTGCCAAAAGTGCAGGAGGATTCTCTTTTTTCCACATCATTACCAACTCCTGTTATTTATTGATTTATTGATAGCCATTCTAACAGGTATGAGATGATATCTCATTGTGGTTTTAATTTGCTATCTCTCTGATGATAGTGATGTTGAGCACTTTTTTTCATGTCTACTGGCCTTCTGTATGTCCTCTTTGGAAAAGTGTCTGTTCAGGTCCTTTGCTCGTTTTATAATTGAATTATTTGTGTGGTTTTGGCGTTGAGTTGTATAGGTTCTTTGTAAATTTTGGATAGCCACAGCAATCTTGAGAAAGAAGAACAAAGTTGGAGGAAAAACACTATCTTATATAAAACTATACTATAAAACCATAGTAATCAAAACAGCATGGAAGTGGCATAAAAACAGACATATAGATCAATGGAACAGAATAAAGAGCACAGAGATAAAATCACAGCTATATGGTCAATTAATATTTGACAAAAGAGGCAAGAACATACAATGGGAAAAGACAGCCTATTCAATAAATGGTGTTGGGAATAATGGACAGACACATGTAAAAAAAATGAAACTAGACACCAACTTACACCATATACAAGAATAAACTCAAAATAGATAAAAGACTTAAATGTAAGTTGTGAAACCATAAAAATCCTAGAAGAAAACATAGGTAGTAAAATCTCAGACATGTCTTTTGGTGTTTTTTTTTTTTTTTTTTTTTTGCTTTGTTTTGTTTTGTTTTCTGAAAGTGAAACAAAGGAAAAAATAAACAAATGTGACTACATCAAACTAAAGTTTTTCACCACAAAGGAAACCATCAACAAAATGAAAAAGACAACCAATTGAATGAAAGAACACATTCACCAATGATACATCTGATAGGAGTTAATATCCAAAATTTCCTTAACTTTAAATTGAAGTTATTGTGTAAGGCTGGGTTAACAGCTGAACTTGAATCAGTTTTTTTTTTGTTTTGTTTTGTTTTTTTTTTTAAAATAACAGCTTTATTGATATTTGTGCATCTTGAAAGGAACTGTGGGCCTTGAGGCTACAGTGGGCATAAGGGCAGGTCTTGGCACATCCTCCATGCCTCTCTCTCAGCCCCTCCCACCATGGTCCCAGGCCCCTGTCAGCAGTCCTGCTCCCGCCACCACCACTTCCACATGCTGATAGCACCACCCTGCTCACACTGGCTGACAGCATGGAGGATTGGGGCTGGTGCCAGCAGAAGGTGCAAGCAGGACCGGCACCATCAATGGGTGCAAGCAGCCGCTGCTGCACCGATCGCTCCTCAGGAGCAGGGGGAGGTGGAGAAGCCTTCAGGGGCATTAGGGGCTGGCAGCCACCACTCACACCCAATGGTGCCAAGCGGTCAGGACTGGCACTGGTAATGGGTGCGAGCGGCAACTCTGGCATCAGCTGTGGGTGTGAGTGTGACCAATTCCAACAGTGGGTGTGAGTGGCAGCTCCAGTGCCAGCAGCGGGTGCGAGAGGTGGCTGCTGGCCCTGATCACCCCTCTGGAGAAGGAGGAGGTGGAGAAGTCCTGAGGGGTGATCAAGGCTGGCAGCTGCTGCTTACACCTGCTGGCAGCGCCAAGCGATTGGCTCCAGTGCCAGCAGCAGATGCAAGTGGGGTCAGTGCCGACAGTAGGTGCAAATGCCAGATTGGACTGTGGTGCGGGGGAGCAAGGAATTTTCAGCAGCTACCAGAGGCTCGCCACAATGACAGCGACCTGCACCCTGCCTTGGTCTGGTTGCCCAGCTCACCTGCTCCACCATCCCACCAGGGCTGACGTCCTCCATGTTCTGTGCATGCTCCCTGGTGGTCAGCACAGGTCATAATGACCGGTTGTTTGATTGTTCTGCAGTTCAGTCTATTTGCATATTAGGGTTTTGTGTATATACTAGAGGCCTGGTGCACGGATTCGTGCACGGGTGGGTCCCTCAGCTTGGCCTGCGCCCTCTCACAATCCCCATCCAGTCCGACATTTCCCTGAGGGATGTAGCAGTGCTGAGGCAGCAGATGGCCAGGGAGGAGCCCCAGCCTGGGCAGGGGCAGTTCCACTGATGCTCACCCAGGCCCTGCCTGCCACTGCCGCTCGATAGCACTGCCATGGAGGTGGGAGAGGTTCCCGCCACCACAGCTGCGCTCTCCAGCCATGAGCCTGGCTTCTGCCTGGCTTCTGGCTGAGCAGCACTCCCCCTGTGGGAGCGCACTGACCACCAGGGGGCAGCTCCTGCATTGAGCATCTGCCCCCTGGTGGTCAGTGTGCATCATCGTGACCAGTCGTTTGGTCATAATCATCACTTAGGCTTTCATATAAATAGATAGATAAATCACATACTATAAAACCCACCCTTTTAAAATACACAATTCAGTGATTTTTTAATTATTTTTTATTTAATATAATTTATTGATTTTCTTAGAGGAAGGGAGAGGGATAGAGGTAGAAACATCAATCAGCTGCCTCCTGCACACCCCCTACTGGGGATGTGCCCGCAATCAAGGTACATGCCCTTGACCAGAATCGAACCTGGGACCCTTCAGTCCATAGGCCAACACTCTAACCACTGAGCCAAACCAGTTGGGGCCAGTGTTTTGTTTTTTATTATATTCAGAGTTGTACAATCTAATTTAAGACCTTTCTTTTTCTTTTTTGAAAGACATGTTCAGCTTAACTTTCTCATCAGCTACTGATAAATATTCAGGCATATAAATGTTGAACACTTCAAAGAAAGTGTCTTGGTGACTGGAGCCAGACACCTATAAGCAGGAGGGTATTCTGGTCAGAAGGTCGAATCTCCAAAGTGGTGGTCCAGAGCCCCTGCCCCCTGCTAACTGCCACTGGTCAGGGACTGAATGTTCTTGAGCATCTCCTCAAAGGCCTGTGGGGATGGTGCCTCTGCATTCTGGAAGGTGGCCTGGACTCTGCTATATAGGACGAAGCAGGTCAGTTCCAGCCAGATGAACCCGAAGTGGTCCTCATCGAACAGGATGAAGACCCCAGGGATGTGCTGGGGGTTGAAAAAGCCGTACAGGGCAAAGTGGCCCACGCCATAGAAACACATCCTGCAGGTTCGGGGGTTCTCCTGGTCCCATGACCTCACACCCAAAGGCAGAACAAACTGGACAGGCTGTTCCTGCCGAGCTGCAGCCCAGGGCTCCCTGACTTCAGTGGGTGGCCCGACATTGGGCTGGGCAGGACTCTGCCAGCTATGGCCCTCACTGTCCCCAGTCCTGTCTTCTTGCTGCTGCTCCAGGCTCACCTGCTCATGAACCTCCAGGACGATGCGGGAGAGCTCCTTGAAGTTGATGAGGTTCTGGACAACGGGCAGCTGGATGCGGTGCATGAGGTTGATCTCTATCGTCTGCTGCCCGGCAGGGATGTTGGGGTCACCCGTGATCTTCGTGGCCCTGGCATACTTCCCATGGAAGCTGAGCATGACAATCTCTATGCCGTTGACATTATAGGTGCCTTTGAAGAGGCCTGGCCTGATGAAGTCGTCTGGGTGGCTGGGCGGGAGGTAGATGCGGTGGTAGGTCAGGCAGTTGTCGTACTGATTATAGATGCACTTCATCAGGATGAACTGCTCCCAGTGCTCCTGGGAAATGTCCTCCAGCGGCCGCTCCCATTCTTCCCCCAGCCACTCTCCGAATTCCTCCTGCATCCCGTCAGAGATGCTGTGGTGGTCCTTCTGGTTGCACTGGGTGGAGAACTTGTCCTTCAGCATCTGGATGTGGCCGCTGTGGGGCCCTCTGTGGCCGTACATGCACTCCACCACGGCCGATTTCTTCTCTGTCAGGTGAATTCTAAATAAGGGCTTTCTTTGCATTGGGTCATTCACATGCGGGTAATGGGGAGGCAGGTACCTCCAACCAATAATGCACAAGCCGTCCACCACTACATTTAGCAGTCCTCCAAAGGGCCCGACTTGTGGCTGCCACAATCCTAAGATGTGTCTGTAAGGGTGGAGCAGCTTTGCATAGACTTCCCGATAAGACACACCCATGACCTTCAGGTTCTGCAAGTTTTCACCCAGGCTGTACTCCTCCCAGCAGCGCCGCCTCCAGATGCTGTCGTGGCTCAGGAGGCAACGGAACTTGGTGCAGACCTGCGCCAGGCTGGGCAGGTCGGTGCCGGGGACCGAGGCAAAGATCTCCACCAGCAGCTCTGGAGGCAGGTCCTGCAACGAGCAGCGCGGGGTTGGCTTGGGACTCACCATGCCTCTGCTCCCAGCACAGAAGAGCGCTTCCGCGTCCGCCTTCATGTGCTCCTCTTCCGGGTGCGGGTCCGGTTCTCTGTCGGCTGGGCCCCGTTGCTGCTGGGGACACCGGCATTCCCGCGAAGGGCCTGCGCTGCAGAGGCCAGCGCACTCCTCCTGGCCAGTCTGAGTGACAGCCACCATTCTGTCTGCTGCTGCCCCCACGGAGAACACAGCCACTTCCTCAAGACCCAGCCACTTCCTCAAGGCCCAGCCCCGCCCCCAGAGTCCAGCCACGCCCCCAAGGCCTGGCCACGCCCTCAGGGTCTAGCCACGCCCCAGGGCCCAGCCACGCCCCCAGGGCTGAGCCATATCCCCTTCTAGAGGGCCTTTGGTAGAGCTATTTTATTTTATTTTATTTTTTTAATTTTATTTATTTTTACATATTTTATTGATTTTTTTTTGCCCACCTTCCTCCCTCCCTCCCACGCATCCCCTCCCTCCCCAGAGTTTTATGTCCATTGGTTGTGCTTATATGCATGTATACAAGTCCTTTGGTTGATCTATTATCTCCCCCAGACCCTCCTCCCCTCCCCGCTGTGATTTGACAGTCTGCTTGTTGATATACTGTCTCTATATCTATCTTTTGGTTCGTCAGTTTATAATGATCTTTATTATCCCCAAATGAGTGGGGTCATGTGGTGTTTCTCTTTCATTGACTGGCTTATTTCACTCAGCATGATGTTCTCCAATTCCATCCAGGTTGCTGCAAATGATGAGAATTCCTTCTTTTTTATGGCAGCATAGTATTCCATTGTGTAGATGTGCCAAAGTTTTTGGATCCAATCATCTGCTGACGGGCACCTAGGCTGTTTCCAAATTCTGGTTATTGTAGATTGTGCTGCTATGAATATAGGGGTGCATATATCCTTTCTGATTGGTGTTTCTAGCATTCCAGAAAGAAACCCACACCCAGCAGCAGAAACTTTCCCAGGGTCTCCTCCCTTTCCTGCCACACTAGCCCCAGGCAGACACTCATCTGCAGTGTGTGTGTGTGTGTGTGTGTGTGTATAGGCCTCTGTGGGCGTGCCTATGGAGGACGTTTCACACAAATGCAGTCATCATGTTGTGACTGGTCTTTTGTGACTGGCTTCTTTCCCTTAACATTTTCAAGGTTTATGTGTTATATCCTGCACTAGTACTTCCATTTCTTCATGTTGCCGGATAATATTTTAGGTCATGGGTATTCCACATTTTGTTTACCTATTCATCAGTTGGTGAATGTCTGGGTGGTTTCCACTTTTGGGCTATTATGAATAGAATAGTGCTGCTGTGAGCATTGTGTACGTGTTTTTGTGTGAGCATGTTTCCATTTCTCTTGGGTAAACACCTAGAAGTGGAACTTCTGGGCCATAGGGTAACTCCAAGCTTAACATGTTGAGGAACTGCCAAAATGTCTTCCAGAGTGGCTCCACCATTTTACGTCCCCACCAGCAATGTGTGAGGGTATCAGTTTCTCTACATTTCTCATTAATACTTTTTAAAAATATGCATTATAGCCATCCTAGTGAGTGTTGAGTGGTATTGTATTATTGTTTAGAGCAGAGTTCTTAATTGTAGTCTGACTTGTCCTTGAACTCCATAAGGGAAATCTCTTCCATTCTCAGCCTTCACCCAGCCTCTGCCAAATCTCTCCACCCCTGGTAGGAATGGGCTCCTGCCAGTGAGCAAGAATGGGCTCACACTTTTCACTTTCAGTTGGCCTCGGTTCTTCACTTTTTGCTAACTAACCTTGCTAGTTTCTTGGGTGAATGGATGCCCTGTCTGAATTTCACATGATGGACTGGGAATCAGAAACCTGACAAAAATGAGACTTTTAATAACACTCTCCAGAGCAAGTACCCATTTTACAGGAAAACCTTGAATCAGTTTTTTAGTAAAATTCTCCATAGGATTGTGCCATATGCAATTAAAACAGTGCATGAAATGGGGAACTGACCATATATGTCTATTCCTCTCCCTAGCCAAAATTCAAGAAAAAAAAAATTAAAGGATAAATATATATTAAAAAGTAATGGGCCCTAACTGGTTTGGCTCAATGGATAGAGCATCAGCCTTCAGACTGAAGGGTCCCAGGTTCAATTCCAGCCAAGGGCACATGTCTAGGTTGCAAGATCGATCCCCAGTAGGGGGCATGCAGGAGACAGCCAATCAATGATTCTCTTGTACCGATGTTTCTATCTCTTCCTTTTCTGAAATCAATGAAATATATATATATATTAAAAAGTAATGGGAAATTTCAAAAGCAACATCAGCTAGGAGAATATTAGAGGGATTCTCACAAGATAGAGAACAGATGGGAACAATAATTGGACCAGAGACTATCACAGACAAAAACATTCAGAACTGTGAATGAAAGGGCTCTGACAAGGTCAGGGAAGGCCTGCATAACAGTCTTGCACTCAAAGACCTAAAGTAACCACAAAGGATGGTCTGAAATTAAACTTTAACTAAAAGCAGTTATGGTGGGTAGTCACCTTCTAGGCTGGTATCTTCACTGACAAGGTTAACCTTTACCTTAACTGAGCCTATCTGTCTTTTTGCCCCTATAATAACATCCTTAAAATGCCTGGGTAACTTGTGACTTCCCTTCTCCCGGACCCCTTGGGACACAACCTAATGTGCCTGGGTGCCAGGACAGATACCACCAATTCCTTCATTGTTATCGTATTAATTGTTCCTGCACCCACCTAAGTATGTATCTATCATTTTACTTTTTTATCCAATCCCTGGGGTCCCCCAGCCCCTTTGCTTTATCCCACCTCTCCAGTCTATCACCAATGGATTTCATGTAACCCACCTATGTTCTTCCTTTGATTGCAATGTATAAATACAAATATAACCCGCCATTTTCCGGAACATTATCTCAATCTGTTGAGGTTCTGCTTCCCTGCAATTGTCCACAGATTGGCTCAAATAAGCTCACAAATTTTTTTTACAGGTTTGAATGTTTTTATGTTAACAGAAGTAAACTGCACAGATGAGAACACAAAGCTTATAATAAATAAAAGTTTGTAATGAACAACATGCTCAAATTCACTCTAGAGACTTCATTCCAAACAACTGGACCATTTGTCTCCCCCTAACTCTGAGAACTGTGTGCGACTAAATGTTTGGTAAGGCTGAAGCTCTCAGCATTATCCATTCATTCATTCATTCATTCACTCATTTATTATGTTATTTTTTTAACGAGGGCGTCTGAGGTCAGTCAGTCATTGTTTCAGGCATCTATCTCCCTGCTGCTGGTGGGCAGTGAGTGTTTTCTGTTTTTGTATGTGTGACACTACCTTATTTCTCACTCTAGTTTGAATGACACTAATGATATATATGCTCTATCAAGATTCAAAGTTCCTTTTCCTCAGAACATTGAGAAAGTTGGCTTTTCTTCTTTATATACTTGAGTTGCCAGTAAGTGACAGATCATTCTGATTCTTGTCCGTTTGTAGCTCTTCTCTCCTCTTTTTGAAAGCTTTTAGGATTTTCTACTACTCTTGTTCTTAGTTTTCATCACCCTTATTTTTCTACCAGTGAGAATTTTTATTCTATTTAATCCTTAGTGACTAGTTTTAGTATGACCACGGCTTTTCTCTAATTCTAGTACACTATGGTAGTTCCTACTATTTCTTTAAATATATTTTTTTCTCCTCCATTTATTTCTCTCCTTATAGAATGTCTTTTAATATTCAAGATAGTGATATAGGAAGAACCCATGGAGCAATTTACTCTGGGGAAAAAACAACAACAACCAATAACAAAAAACTAAAGGTTGGCTAATGTCCCGACCCGCGGGGCAACAACGGGGGTACGCAGGAACCACCTAAGAGAATGGAACAAACAAAGAACGCAAAGAAGGGAGGCAAGACAAAATTCTGATCAAGCCTCCAACTTTATTTTTTGAAATGGCTGTATATATACAGCAGAAACAAAGGGGGGCAGGGTTGCCTATGCAGAGGGGTCTTTGGCAGTGTATAATTGGTTTAGGCACTGAGTGGCAAGGTGGTAAGGTATCTGGCAACACAGGATTGGCTAACTGCCAGGGCAGGGTAACATTCCAAGGTGTAACATTCCAAGGCTGGGCTATCTTTGGGGGAGGATCAGGAAGGGGAAGTTGCAAAGATGTTAAATGGCAGGTTAATCTTATCTTCTGGCCAAACCCTCAGGGCACCTCATAACTTCTGCTAGAAGGAACTTAATTCTATTTCCTTAAGATGGAGTTGCTTGTCTCAACTCTGATGGCTCCCAACAGTCTAAGGGACAACTACACATCTGGCGAGCTAGAAGAAAACCACATCCAAAGAGTAGGAGAGGCTGGGACACAGCTCTCCATGAATCTCACTCCTGGCCCTGCACGTGACCCACATGATCAATCGAGAACTCAAAACCCAGTGCTTATCCCTGAGGAGCAAAGGGTTTGAACTCCACCTCGGGCATGCCGCCTTTTAAGAGCAGCACCTGAAAGATGAACCCACAAAAACATGTGGCTCTGAGTCGTAAGACCCACAAAACTTCAGGGACCTGAGAAACTGCTCACAAGTTCTTCCTCACCTGCCCCCAAGGCCCGGTCAGAGGCAACTGACTGCATCCAGACTCTTAAGAGAAAGCGGTGTATTTGCTTATAGTAAAGCTTCTGATTCTTCATACGCAACCAGGAGTCTGCTGGAACACTCTGGGCATGAGACTGGTGGGTGCCTTTTTCACTCTCTTCCTCTACCTTGCCTTTGTTTGTTTGCTTTTTTAATCCTAAACTCCTCCTCTTACCTCTCTCCCCTCCCCATCTGTGCAGACACCTTCCCCAAAGCTCCCTCTCTGCCTCAGGTACCCAGCAGGTGCCATCCTTGCGTTCCCCCTCCACTGGGCTCCAGAGCAGTGGTGTCTCCCAGAGGGAGGGTTTACGCCCCTCTGGTGCCCGATCTTTGCAGCCGCCCAACAGGAGCCACCTGTTGTTCATCTAGCTTTAATGGCCAGGGGAGCTTGCCTTCCTGGGTCCATGGGACTATAACAAGGGAAGAGACAGTTGGCAGCGGACAGAAACACAACCCTCATCTCTCTGTGAGAGGGGTGTGTTGCTTGTCTTGGAGCAGGCCTGAGGAGGAGGCTGCAGGGCTGGCACACCTAGGAGGCTGCTTGCTGCCCTCAGGGAGGGG